AGCCATCTGCTCCCAAATATCTGAGATTACAGGTGTGTACCACAAAATCTGGTCCTTAGAGTTGCAAATTCTTGACCTTATCCCAGGCCTAACAAATTAGAGACTCTGGGAGTAGTTACAGCAATTGTTTCTTCCAGACACCAGTTCAAGTTTGAACACTACTGTCCTCCATCAGAAGCTCAGTTTTCTCATCTATAAAATAAGAAGCTGCCTTAGGTGATATTTATGGTTCATCCCTTTCTTCTAGTGGCCATGGTGTATGGACCCAGAATAGGTTTAGAGATTTTCTGTCATAGGGCTTATAACCTTCCCTTGAATGTATAGCTGAAATAATTCAGCCAGAAACTGGCCATGGCTAACAAAAGAGGAAGTGATCTCAGGACCTAGACACCACAGGGCATACAGGGTGCTCACAATAACATAACTCATGGTTCCTCTGCCAGTCGGTACCACATTTCCCATGTGCAAACTCTGGCACGTTGGGACAGGGTTTCCCTTTCCTCTGGGACTGAGATCTGTCCACTGTGATTCATACAACAACCCTTCTGCAGGAAACCACAAACAACATTTCAGAAGGATGTACAGAAGTACACAGCTTCGCAGTAAAACAAGGAGAAATTGTAAGCCATTTATCAAAGCTCTGCAGCTTCCATTTCAAGACAGGTGGAAAAAAATAACACAGAACAAGAAAGAAAATAAATCTGTACCCTGAGCATCTCATAAATAAGGAAGGAGTGGCGGAGCTCTTGGCCTTGCTACATTCTTGAGTCTTTTTGTCACAGTTCAGAAAGCTTTCAACTATTTTAGCTGGTAATTCTTTTCCTTTTCCCATTATCAAAAATCTATGTTTGTAAAATTTTTTCACTTACTATTAAAACCAAGAAAGGAAACTCTAACCATCATTTCAAGGAGAGAGAGGCAGGGCATCAAAAGAGAGAGAGAGGCGCCTCATTCATCCCAGCTATAAAACAGATTTTTTTTCATTTAAATGTGGTGGTGTTTCATAATTTAGAGCAAATCATTGAAATAAAAACCTATTTTCTAATTGGCGGTTTTCGTGGTAAAAGCTTATTTGTTGGAGACAATTAGGACATGGTTCATTGCCTGTGAGAGAGGTTTTGGTCTTTTATAATGCCTGGGAGGGATGGAGACATAAAAGCTTTTATTAAGAAGGGTGGATCCCAGGCCCATTCTGCCTGAGGGAACAATGTTGATTGAGGAGAACCAGTGTTTGGAGATGTGCAATAGACTTGTGTGAAATTTGCAAGTGTTAGATAGGTCAAAAAGCCAGCATTACAAAATTCTGCTTCAAAACCTGCACTCTGAGTTCACCTCGTGGCTCTGACCCATACTGGTTCTGAAACTTTGGACAAGCCACCCTATCTCTCAGTGCCTCTGCTTCCTTCTTGTTAAAGTTGGGTAATGCTAATATTGGCTTGGTGAGGGTTTGGTGAGGATTAAGAACTAGCTTTTGTACAACACTTTGCACAATGCCTGCCACATAGCAGATGTGATTTTTAGTAGGCCCACTTGCTAATTTCCAATATGGTTCTTTCAAAGAACTCTAAATATCATTATATACAGTTGACCTTCCACCTTCACATGTTCCTCATCCACAGATTCAACCCGCCACGGATTGAAAATATTTGAAAAATGTTGCATCTGTACTGAATGTGTACAGACTTCCTGCTTGTCATTATCTCCTAAATATTAAAATATATCCATTATCTATATCGGTATTACAATGAATCTAGAGATGATTTAAACTGTATGGAGGATGTGCATAGTTTCTGTACAAACACTATGCTCTTATTATTCTTATTATTATATTCTTGTTGCACTGGAGGTACAACAATAATATAACTTTTACAAAAATTCTTACAATATATCTTAGTTGAATTCACCACCTTCATCATTTTCCTTTATGCCCTCTTGCCCCCATTCCTAGAATTACTATACTCTTTTATACTTGAGCATCTCAAGATTTTGGTACCCATGGAGGATCTGGGAGCCAAGCCCTCGTGGATCCCAAGGCACAACTGTCTATTGTTTTTTAACTGGAAGGATCTTTTGAAAGCACAGTGCTCTCTTCATACCTGCCATATGTGCCTGAGGAGGGGTGTGATTGAAAGAATGAGGCTGCCAGGGGAGCCTAGGTGTAAAATTCAAATAAGAGTGATGATTTTTGAACCATGGATCAACTTTACTGACATACAGTTCTAGTGGGTTGTTAGAATTAGATTCTGAGAAATGAATTTTTTCACTTGATTTTCTTTTCGTGTACTTGTTTTTTGGAATGACTGATAGACCAATGCTTAAAATAGGTCTGAAGAAATAAATGTCATATTTTTCTCTTTTATATCTGGCTTGCTCTACTTTGTAGGCTGGCCCATGCTGCCTGATGGCTGATATTGATTAGTTTATGTTTTTGTCAAATAAACTTTTCTCTATCTATGAGAAGTCTAAATGCTAGCAGTACCAAAATAAATGTGTTCAGCTTCTAAACTGGTGGGAAGGAAAAAAGTAAGAACAAAAGATCACTGGGCTGTAGTGTCCAAAGAGGACATTGGCTGCCCAGCCAAAACTTTTGAGCAGCCAAGTTTTGAAGTTCTGAGCAAGCTCCTGAAGTTATCTGGCCACAGTTTCCCCATCAGCAACGTGGAGACAACAATAGTACCTGCTGGCTACAGGTGTTGTGAGACTTAATACATGTAAAGTTCAAAATAGTGCTAGCATCTAGAAAGTGCTCAGCAAGTAGGAACCTTTTTTTATGTTACTTATGTTCATGATTATCAAGTGTATCAAAGTCATCAATTTACTATTCTTTACTAAATAACTAAAAATATGAAATCTGTAACTACAAACTCCTTTTTTTGACAAAGTCTCTGGTCATTTATTTCCAATATTCTGATTTTTTCCTTTACGCCACTATTGAACATAGGTTAGCCCCTCTTCTTCTAATGAATATCAAATTAAGACTAAACTGCACTTCATTTAACATGCTGAGTGATTTTCATTTTGTCGCAATTATTTTAATTTTATGAGATACATCTTTTTCCTTGGTGGTGGTGCTTTGGCATTTTAATAAGCTTTCCAGTATTTTAACAAGTGAATCTGGATAAAATGTTAAAATAAAATATTAAAATTATTGCATTGATATAACCTACTTAGTAGATATTATGAACTTGAATATTTTTGAAATAGGAACTGTGGTCCAGTGCAGTACTGCTTTTCTCTGATTTTGGATGTTATTTATTAGCTTATAAACAAATTCTAATCAGGTTTGGAAAGACAGTTTAGATGTACTCTTTAATAACATAGAAAAGTATAGGTGGTTTGAACCTTGAACAAGTGAATAAAAGGGCCTTCTTGTACCTAAATTAGAAAAAAAATTTACTATTAATCAGAATGTCCATAGCAAAACAGAAATTCAAGCTGTCTATTAAAAATATTCTGAGTTAAAATGAAAATATGTCATCTCAAGCAAATTATTTGGATCATGAGTTAAAAGCAGTTCTCTTTAATGTTCCCCGAACAATCTTTTAAATTAAAAATTTTTTACATTGACAGATAACATTGTAGGATTTTATCAAGTACAACATGATATTTTAAAATACACACACACACACACACACACACACACTGTGGGATGGTTAAATCTGTATAAAAAGTAGGTAGCTATAATTTGTGGTGAGACAAGATGCCTACTTTTACAACTTCTATTCAACTAGTTCTGGAAGGACTCACGAGAGCAATTAGGCAAGAGAAAGAAATGAAAGTCATACAAACTAGAAAGGAGGAAGTCAAACTGTTTCTGTTTGCAGGTAATACAATTTTATGTGTAGAAAACCCTAATGACTCCACAAAAAAAAAAAAGAAAAAAAAACCCTGTTAGAACTTCTGAATAAGTTCAGTAAAGTTGAAAGATATAGAATCAACATACAAACCCAGTAGCTTTTCTATAAAGCTACAGCAAATGTTCTCTGACTACTGAGGATCCAACCCAGTTCTTTCCTTGCATGTGCTGGGTAAACTCTACCACTGAGCTACACCCCAAGCCTTGGCTTGGGGTCTCACTATCTAGCCTGTGTTTACCTAGAACTTGAGGTCCTCCTGCCTCAGCTTCCCAAAGTGCTAGGATTACAAGGGTGCAGCACCATGCCTGGCTTTGACATTTTTTTCCACGGAAAAAGAAAAATATGGCTTCCTTTAGATCATTCACCATCCAGGTCTGTATTTCCAGTACTGTTCTTGGTGATCTTTTTTTTGTGATTATGGTAGAGAGTGATTTGCTTTCTGAAGAGTCCTCCTGGTGTTTAGTGGATGATACCAAGCATAAAGAGAACTTGGAGGCACCAGGCCTGCTCCCTTGCTAGGCTTATTTGTAACTGTTGTTATCAGGCTATGTGTGAAGACTGGTGATGCCTGGCACACTCTTCCAGAGCAGGCAGATGGCAGAACACTGTGGACATCTGAATTGTATCCAGTGATTGTGCTTAGAGGCTTGCAGACTGTATAACCCTGGACACTTCACAAAGTGCACCAACAGGGGTGGCCATACTTACTCACACATAAAGATAAGAAAATCAAGGTGCGGAAAGGTAAGGCTTCACGGAGGCAATTTCTGAGATAAATGATAGAGCTTGACTACATTCCAGGGCTTTCTTCCTAAATGTCATTGGTTTTACTTTAATGTGGCCACCAGAAATGTGACTCTTGGGTTCTTTTTTTTTTTTTTTTTTTTTGTCTAAGAATAATCCTGTATTTTGACCTTTCTTGGGGTTTCCCAACCCTAGGTATAAAAGTGATTTGCTGAACCTGCAGAGCTGGAAGAAGTCCCTTCCCCAATCCTAACAGATTTCCATGGAAATAGAAAATGTCATCGCATTTCATTATGTAGGACTTGCCTTGTGTACTTCCGTCTTGATAAGGAACACCAGTACCCTGGTGGTTGGCAAAGTCTGCTGAAGAATTAACGAAACATTTCGTTCTCATCACAGAATCATGTCAACCCAGCCATGGACTTCACTCAGACCCCTCCCGGGATGCTTGCTCTGGACAACATGCTGTACTTTGCTAAGCACCACCAGGACGCCTACATCCGGGTAAGCGCAGACCTTTCTCAGACACTTCACTTTCCTGCTGAGTTTCCTACAATTGACCATTGACAAGTGACCTCAGAGTTTTTGCTTCTATCACTCAGTAAACTGAAAAATTATAATTAAATGCAATTGATTAGGGGGAATGGAATAGGGATTTCTAGCTTCTGAATTTTTCCATATCCTGTTATTTAAAAAATACAACTGATGCTGGGAAAACCTTTTAGATAGTTCAAACATTTTTAAGTAACAAGGAAAAGAAATGAACTATTTACCAAAAACTCACAGTACTTCACATTTAGTGACTTACTCCTTAAGTTAGAGGCCCAGGATTCTCACTGACTTAACTGTTTCTTCTCGTTCTAATGCTGGAGACTAAAAAAAGTAAATTAAAAAAAAAAAAGGAAAATGGGAGAGGTGTGGAACAAAGAGGAATACCCTCTCATTTCCTGGCAAACTGGTCATATTCTAGTTACTAAGTTGGATTAGTTTGGGGTTGGGGGAGAAGTAGAAGGAAGGGGAGGCCTGTAATTTTTCTGTGAAATAGCAGATGCCTCTTGCTGGTTGGGCAGTGCCCTGTATAGAAGACAAAGTGTGAGTGAATGACGCCTTAGGTGACAGTGACATAGAAAACTTGTCCATCAGGTTGCACAACTGGAGCCCTAGATTCTTGATGACTCTTCCCCCTGTCCTTGGGGACAAGAGTTTAGATGCAGTCCAGCATGGAGTAGGTCCAAGAGTGAGATCAGGAAGGGATGTGTTTGAATGGGACCATGTTAATGGACAGGGCGAGCTACAGGGTTAGGAGGTATTTGATGAACAAATTGCCCAAAGCAGAAAGAGTAAGGCTGGGCAGAAAATCAGATGAGTGCATGTCCAGTGTGAACTCTGCCATGCTCCACTGCTACAGTCTCTGTGGCACTGGTTTCCTAGAGATCTCAGCTCGAGACCTGGAACTGTCACTATCTAGCAGTTTCAGTGCTGGCAATTAATTTTGTCTGGGCCATAGCTCATTCTGTAAGTAATGGAGACTTGATGGCTCTCAGCTGTGACAGTATTTCCCCCAACGGACATTTGGAAAAGTGTTGGCATGTGTCTTTGGTTGTCACCATGCCTAGTGAGGATCTACTGCTCAAATGTGTAAAGGACAATCTGCAGTCCAGCAGAGCCCCCTCTCCCCCCTGCGAATAAAGTCATGCTTGAACTCCACGTTCTCTATAGACAATATATTTCAAGTTTATGTGATTTTCTATACTGAGAAGCTTTGACTATTCTGAATTATTATTTGTAATTTGAGTATATAGAGGATTTTATGGTCATTTGTCTGAAAGGTCTGGAATCAGTGCATGATCTGAAATGCAGTCTTCTGTAAGAAAATAGGTTTGTTCATAAAACCTTGATTTCACTTGTTTATGTATACATTTGTTACACAGACATTTTCTAGGAATGTAATCTGCTCTTACAGTAAATCAATTAGTATTTTGGGGATACCATGTGGTATATAGCTTTGGGGAATTGAGCGTAAAAAGTAGAAGCCAAGTAGAAATTGAATTTACCATCAGTTGATTAACAAATATCTCTGAAATTAGAGCTTACTGATGCTGACTGTATTGTAAATTGCATCAGAAGCATATGTCTCATGAAAAATAATTTAATGTCTAAGCCTAACTTGAATGCATTTCTCTAAACTGTTATAAGTGAAATTAATACCATGGCAACAACAACAACAAAAAAACCTTTGCTTCTGATAGAGATTTAAAAGACAAACCTGTATGTGAAGTGTGATCCTTTTTGTTCACATGCAATTTTCTTTATTGGTTGAAACCCATAGGTCAGATGGAGATCTTTAATTTTTCTCAAAAGTGTCTCTTCCTGGATATTTTCTCAGTCCTATGTGACTAGTACATGGAAAGCTAAAGCCATTTATATGAGTAGATGTCATTAGTGGATCATATTTAAGGTCTGAGGCTTTCTACAAGCAGTTTTCTGGGAACTGTGAAAGTAAACATTCTAGTGACTGAGCACTGGTGTAGAGAGAAATACTGGTCCCAGACAACTGTTACACTTTGATCTGTGAACTGGATGTCTTTTCTGAGACATAAAGAGGCTTTTTTTTTTTCAGTTTGCATTTTGGTAAAATCTACTCTTTTTTTTTTTTAGCAAGGCAAATCTCCCTGTAAATACACTTACTCATTTATTATTTATATTTTTCATTTGATAAACACTTAACTCTGTACCTGAAGTATACACACTCACCATTTACTTTCTTCGCCAGATTTATGATTGAGAGTTTTCTGAAAGAAAATTCACACACACACACACACACGCATTTCTCTTTGCCCTTAACACTATCCCACCCCACAAATCTCAACGTTTCTTTAGCCACCTTTTATCTATGTGTTATCATCTTGCCCTGTGTTCCATCTCACTTGGCAACACTAGGCACCCACACTTCTGCCCTTGACTTTCAAGAAGCTGTTCAGCCAAACAGAGTGCTCTCCTAATTCTTCATCACCTTTGCCCTCCCATTGACAGTGGACACCTGTTTCTAGAGACCTGGGCCCTCTGCTTCCTGCACAGGCAGCCAATACTGTCTCTCTTGCTTCTCAGCTTGACCCTTGCTTAGTTTCTCTAGCGGGCTTCTATTGCTCTGCAGCCTGTCAGATGCACATGATCCCTAGCACTTGGTTATGGACTTTTACAGGCTGCACATATTTCCTGAGTATCTGCAAAGCCCAGCAGTGAGCTAGGCAATGGGGATTCCTGAGGGAACAGTTTGCTCATGGGTCCTGCACTGAGGAGTTTACTGTTTAGAGATGGGAAGGAGGGTTGTAGGTGTGTATGTGGGGATGAAGGGCAGAATGCTAGGCAGTTGCCAAGTCACTTGGAATCCCTGGATTAGGGAAGGAGATACTGGACGCCAATATGAGGGTCACGTCAAGAAAGCTTCCTGGGGGGAGTGGTGTTAGGCTAAGAGCTGATGGGTAGTTCTAGCTCTTCAGGTGAAAGGAAGAGCGTAGGAGTCTCTAAATGGAGGAACTATGGGCGTTCCCTTCCACATTAATCATAAGGGCGCATGCCTCATTCAGGAAGCCAGCAAGTACAGTGTAGCTAAGGTGCATGGGATCACAACTTGAGATGCAAGTGTCACAGTTCATTATGAACACTTGGAGCCATATTAAGGTGATTGTTTCAACCCAAAGGCTATGAGGAATATCTGAAGGTTTTCTTTTTGTGGTACTGGGGTTTGAACTCAGGGCCTACACCTTGAGCCACTCCACCAGCCCTTTTTTGTGAAAGTTTTTTTTTTTTTTTTGAAATAGGGTCTACAGAACTATTTGCTCAGGCTGGCTTCAAACCACAAGCCTCTTGATCTCTGCCTCCTGAATAGCTAGGATTACAGGTGTGAGCCACCAGCACCCAGCCTGAAGTGTTTTAAGTAAAGATGGTAAGAATTAATCGTAGAAAAATCAATTTCTCTCTAGAAAACCAACATTGAGAAATCAAGGATAGAGGTAAAAATAAAATTTGGGATTTAGCGAAATAATGGTAACCTGAACTAGGGGTAGTGGGTGTGGCGACAGAGAGAAGCAGTTTGGTTGGAGCTAAAATAAACTGAGTTCTCCCCAAGGAAGAGGGAGGTTTCTGACTCAAGGGAATGGGTGGACAGTGGTGCTATTAATGACCTAGATAGTACAGGCTATGAGCAGCGGTCATTTGGAGAACCCTGACTCATGTGCATGGACCATCTGCCTGGGTGGACTTGTGCAAAAGGCAGTGGGATATGGCAGCAGAGCTCTCATCCAGAATGATGCTGTGTCTCTGTATCACAGCTCCTTAAACATACTCATTCCTTCCAATCCGGTGGCATTTTATAGTAATGGCTTTCCTGCAAAGGTCTGCTACCTTCAAGGCTCTTCCACAACAGCTGCTAGGATATATCTCACTCCCGCTTCCCCTCCACCAGCTCCCTCTCTCCCTTCTCTGTGCTCTACACTGTCATGGAATCCTTTGCCTACAAAATGATGGCAGGCCACAAGCTAGCCACAAGCTAGCCAGGTCCCCACTGTTGGGTCTTTGCTCACACTCCTCCTTCTGCCCAGTACTCCTCCCCCACCACATGCATGCTGAACATCCCTGAGCAAGACTCCTCTCTACAGAAGACTTCCGGGCCCTCTGCCTGGGTGTGTTTTGTCAGCTTTCTGTGCACCTAGTACACACAATTTAATTCTGATAACCTTTTATAACTTTACATGTATTTACCTCTGTCTCCTCTAATTGATTAAAATAAACTCCACCTGAGCAGCCCCAAAGTTCACTTATATTCCTAGCCCCTGGCACAGTGCCTAACACTGTCGATAACTTCACGTTAATTAAGCAAGTAAAGAATTTCTTTAGTTTTATCTAATTGGTATCTTGTCAATGATCTTCTTAAAAAAAATCATCTGAAAATCACAGCCTTTGTTCCTCATAACAGATATAAAGGTATATTTTTGCACATGAGTTTTTTGATGGGGGATGAATGACTTCAAATGAAATAGTTGAATAAACTGTTGTAACTGTGCACTAATGAAAGCAGTGGACATACTCGAATCACCCCACACTTGGACGGGCACAGAACGTGAGGAGGAATTGCAAGACATCCCACTGTGCGTGTAGTAAAATCTGGAGATATCTCATGATTGCAGATTGCTGAGTCTTATTTACCCTGCGCATAATTGTTCTTTGTTTTTTCATGAGATGCTCCATCCCCCAGTTTCCCCACCAAGCGAGCAGTACTAGGTTCGCTCTGCGAGGAGGCGGGTGGGGACAGGCCCTTGCTCACTCTCCTTATCCTGCTGTCAGTATTTCAGAGACAGGATAATGGGACAGAACTGAGTATAATGTGTTTGTTGGTTTTGCTTTCTCTGCTCCACCCTGCCCCCAACCCTTGAAATGGCCGTTCCATTGGAAGAAAGAAGCTTAGTAACTTCTTTGGAAACAGGGAATTTGTGGTCTTCATGGCC